AGGGGGGGGGGGGGGGGCAGACCCACTTTTCCCTGTTGGCTTACAGTTCTGATAACACATCCTAAGCGTTACTTCTTTTTGGAATTTTCTTTCCATTTAAAAAACATCCTCACATTTTGTTGCACAATTAGGGCTCTTTTTCAAACAAACATCTTACAACATCTGTAGTCTTGAGATAAAGATCGTATCTATAACTAACAAGTATCTGTATACAAGAGGATTGCACACTATTCTTTGATAAGGCATACTTGTTGGTTTGTTTGCCTTTTTGACCACAGGGTTACTAAGTCTTAGAACTGGCAATGCATTTACAATGTGTAAAAATATTTGATAGGAGTCTAACTGCAAGACAAAAAACAAATTTAAAAAAATTAAAGAAACAAAAAGGTATAAATATGCACTCCAGCAACTATGTAGACAGAATTGGAAGTTTAGGGCTGGAGATGTGTCACTGTAACAAGAACCCTTCATACTTATAGGATTTTTTTTTGGCATGGCAGTGTGAACATTTCATATAATGAAGCAACTAAACATAAGCATTTAAATTACTATATTCTCCAAGCACTGAATTTATGAAAACAGCTGTAAGTATCTCTTTGGATTTCAATAAAGGGGCAAGTAACATCAGAATAAATTGCAATCGTTTCTGCATCAATACTGAGGTCTATACCTACAAGTCTAGAGTATTTGATCAGTTTTTATCACTTATTTAACAGTGCATGCATTTAAATATTACAGGTCCATGACTCTGAAAATGTAGTCAAGTCCTCATTAAGGAGCATACCTTTGCTACACTTCAATCAGAAAAAGGTAAAGCTGTTATTTAGGGAACAATGTAAACCGAGTAGAATATGTTCAGTTTCTTGCTGCTAAAAAAGACACTGAAAAGAGTATGTTAGTGTATTGCTGATTAGGATTACCCGGTTACCATTGTTTTTATCTACTCCTGGGTGAAACTACTAAACGATGGGCTGATTTTTTTCTGAAATGAACTATCATCAAGGAATAGATAAGTCATTTTGTTGCCGGTATACATAATTCAAATATATTATGTTCAAAGTATTTTCAAGATACCTTGGTTGTCAGACACACACATAGGTCCATCTCTCTGATAGTTGGCCACACGAGCCCTGTAGGGACAATTCACAGGTATTTGTAGGTAGTTGGGTCCTAAACGGTGTCGGTGAGTATCAGGATATGAGAAAAGACGACCCTAAAATAAAAGTGACGTATAATTCAATATTTTTTTACATTTAGCCAGAAAGAACCATCATCATCTAGTCTCACTTACTGTAGATCAGAAGCCACCATTCAGCACCCTCACACAAAACCAAACAACCTAAATTAGTCCAAATATTAAAGCCCACAGGAGACCACAGTATTATATGCCATAAGGAAAAAATAGGAGGACCCAGATGTACCAATGCCCTCCCCACATAGCAAGGAAATGAAGTGATATATACTCAGATAATCCAGGAAGTTGACCAGCAGTCCACCTTGCAGAAGAGGACCAAACCTTCCCCCCAAAGTCACTACCAGAGGTCCAAACGTTCCCCCCAAAGTTACTACCAACCTGACTAAGGGAAAGCACTTTCCCAATCCCATATATGACAATAAGTTTGATCCTGAACATATTTTTCTACAAGTGTATTTTTCATGACTAACTTTTGAAACTACCCACTGAAATAAGCAGTTATGTGATCAAAATGCTCATTTAATAATCCTTAATAAAAGTCAAAATGACTAGTTATCCTCAACTTACAGTAATTATTTTCAAATTTCTGTATGTAATATATCCCTTCTAATTTTCTTGCATATTTACATGACAATATTGCAGTGACTGTATTTTTTAAAAGGGGCATTAGAGTAGGTATGCTGGCATAAGTGCCTCCTTACATAATACCAGAAACAAATTGTTTACTATGTTAAGGGAACAGAAATTAAAATCCCCACTGTAAATCAAACAGTGAAGGAGCTAACTGAAGGAGTGATCATAAAAGAGTGTCTTATCTGAAAGCAAAAAGACTTCATATTAGCTCCATAAAAAATTATGTGCACTATTTATTATGGACTGCGCCAAACTAAAAACTTAGTCAGGTTAAAGCCTTTAATCCAGGGGAAGGCAAGGTACAGCCTGCAGGCTGGATCTAGCCTGCCAAGCCACTGGATCTGGCCCGTGGGCCACCCTGCCTGGATGCTCAGGCACAGAGAAGCCAGCTTCTTGAGAGCAGCCTCCACCCTCCAGCCACTTTAAGCAGCTGCCAGCATTCTGAGCTAAGAGCTACAGAGAGCAAGGGGCAGGGAGAAGCTTCACAGAAACTGGCCAATGGGAGTTGAGAGATTTTGCTAGGAATGAGGCAACACACGAAGGCTCCCCCTCCATCCCATCCATCCACACTGGCACCCAAAGGAGAGAACCACAGGGAGCAGCGAGCCCTTCTGAATAGCATGGGACTGCGGCAGGCAAGGAGCCTGCCTCAAGCTCCTGGAGGGTTG